CACATACATCTGTGGGCTCGTCTTGGATGACTACCTGCATTGGGAGACCATCAGTCCCTCATACAACACGAGGGTGAGGCAGTCAGCCAAATGTGATATTTATATCTCTTCACTAATCCAAGTACTGCTTTCTTCACTGAACAATCATAGAGGAGACAGTTATATGATTGAACTTTCAACCTTTCTACTGGTATCTATCATGTTTCATGTTCTTTATGTCTTATAAATTTTGATCAAACTATACACAATCTCTTACAGCTCATGAGAGCCTTCTTGACACTCTGGCTAAATTCTAATGAAGATTAAATTCATACATTGCAATTCTGGCTGTCTCCTAATGCAATTTAAATTTAGACGTTGACTATGCTACTCTCTCATCTGCTTGATGACGTACAATGCAGCTTCGTTCAACAACATTAAAGTACATCAGCTGTTGTATTTAGTGATGTTGAAACATAACAGTACGTGGCCAATAATTTTTCAGCGATGCATCCATCTCTTTTAGTTGAGAATAATTCATTTGTTACTTTTAACTTCAAATATCCTGGCAATGAGAGCACCTGTCCACTCCAGCCTGCACACCTGTCCACTCCAGGCTGCACACCTGTCAACAGTCACAATGCAGCTCTTGGTTCACCAGACTGCCACAGACACACACACACCTTGGTGACTCCACCACTCTCAAAGGAAAAAGGAAAAACGACGTCGCAAGTTTCGTTACTGTAGACGAATTACCTTCAGGAACACAATGACGTACCGAGAACAGCTATAGAACCTTGCTAGTTCTTATCATTCTAACTCGAGCCGACGTTTCATTAACAGTATAATCATTTCAGAGTGCTTCTCTGAGAATCGGTGAAGCGTTGCTCTTTCTCTTCAGTATTGTGCACACAGTGAGCTCCCAGGAGCTCCTCGGACTCACAATCTCTCGCAATAAACCATCACACACCTCGTTGATTAGCAACATTTTCAAATCTCGGTCAATCACAGTTTACCATAACGTCATTTAATCCCATTGTCTTTGACTCGTCAAGTGAAACAACGACGAAAGCGATGTTAAAATTCCATTGAGAGTCAACTTTTGTTGTCAAGAAATATATATTTTTTTCAGAATAATTTCATTCTAAAATATACAATGCTCTAACAGTCACGTATTTCGGAAAGGGTTCGCGTTTGACTATGACAAAGGCGGAATAATGTCGCGCCTTCAAGTCGCATTACAACTGTAGGTATACGGCTGGTTTTTACGGCTTCCTTAACCACCCACGATTTCTGGATCACAGAAACTATTTTCACGAAAGGTGGCATTTATTTAGCGAGGAGAGAGAGAGAGAGAGAGAGAGAGAGAGAGAGAGAGAGAGAGAGAGAGAGAGAGAGAGAGAGAGAGAGAGAGAGAGAGACAGAGAGAGACAGACGAGAGACAGACAGAGATAGAGAGAGAGAGAGAGAGAGAGAGAGAGAGAGAGAGAGAGAGAGAGAGAGAGAGAGAGAGAGAGGAGAGAGAGAGAAGGAGACAGAGACAGAGAGAGACAGAGAGAGAGACAGACAGAGATAGATCGAGAGAGAGAGAGAGAGAGAGAGAGATAGAGATAAAGAGAGAGAGAGAGAGAGAGAGAGAGAGAGAGAGAGAGAGAGAGAGAGAGGGTGCTACAAGGGTTGTAGTGGGTATGCGGAGGGCAGGACAAAGTCGTGTATTGTCTTGCCTTAATACAATTACCCTCAGCCAGAGATGTACCGCCTCCACCATTATTGCATTTCTTGCTGCTGTTGCTCAGCCGTTCTTCTCCAATCTCGTATCTCTTCTTCGTATCTTCGTACTCATCATTCGTCCTATCTCTCGCCTTCTTCATTCTCTTCTCAATTCTCCTCCTCCCCCCCCCCCCACCTAGCCTGTCTCCTCTGCTTGACCGTGTAAGTTAAGGCAGTTCAAGAGCGCTGTGGATGGTATCTTGTCTTGTGCTTGCTGATGCAACGTCTCTTTGATGCAACAATTACAACAAAATATTAGTTAAGCCAATCATAATAAAAGAACTTTTGGAGGAAATTTGTAGTAGTTTTAGATAGACACAATAATGTCTATCTATGTGATAGATAATTTTGATAATACAGCATAGACCATATTGACTAATACGCTCGTCACTCGTCACCTGGAATAAGCTTATCAATTCATGGTCTTCTAATTAGCAAGGAACATGAAGATAAAATTAAGATACGTAGCTCACATCATCAGAAAACAATATACCGAATGAAGAAAATAAAGATATGTTTATTTTCTCTGAAGAAGCAGAGGCTAAAAGCAGACCAAATCTAAACTTTAAAGACTTTGAAGAACTACACCTCCAGACCCTTACACCCTCAGACTACTACACCTCCAGACCACTACACCTCCAGACTACTACACCTCCAGACTGCTACACCTCCAGACTGCTACACTTCCAGACTGCTACACCTCCAGACTGCTACACCTCCAGACTGCTACACCTCCAGACTACTACACCTCCAGACTGCTACACCTCCAGACTGCTACACTTCCAGACTGCTACACCTCCAGACTGCTACACCTCCAGACTGCTACACCTCCAGACTGCTACACCTCCAGATCACTACACCTCCAGACCACTACACCTTCAGACCACTACACCTCCAGACCACTACACCTCCAGACCACTACACCTCCAGACCACTACACCTCCAGACCACTACACCTCCAGACTGCTACACCTCCAGACCACTACACCTCCAGACCACTACACCTCCAGACTGCTACACCTCCAGACTGCTACACCTCCAGACTGCTACACCTCCAGACCACTACACCTCCAGACTGCTACACCTCCAGACTGCTACACCTCCAGACTGCTACACCTCCAGATCACTACACCTCCAGACCACTACACCCTCAGACCACTACACCTCCAGACCACTACACCTCCAGACTGCTACACCTCCAGATCACTACACCTCCAGACCACTACACCTCCAGACTGCTACACCTCCAGATCACTACACCTCCAGACCACTACACCTCCAGACCACTACACCTCCAGACTGCTACACCTCCAGACTGCTACACCTCCAGACTGCTACACCTCCAGATCACTACACCTCCAGACCACTACACCTCCAGACCACTACACCTCCAGACCACTACACCTCCAGACTGCTACACCTCCAGACCACTACACCTCCAGACCACTACACCTCCAGACCACTACACCTCCAGACCACTACACCCTCAGACCACTACACCTCCAGACCACTACACCTCCAGACCACTACACCTCCAGACCACTACACCTCCAGACCACTACACCCTCAGACCACTACACCTCCAGATCACTACACCTCCAGACCACTACACCTCCAGACCACTACACCTCCAGACCACTACACCTCCAGTCTGCTACACCTCCAGACCACTACACCTCCAGACCACTACACCCTCAGACCACTACACCCTCAGACCACTACACCTCCAGACCACTATACCTCCAGACCACTACACCTCCAGACCACTACACCTCCAGACCACTACACCTCCAGACCACTACACCCTCAGACCACTACACCTCCAGACCACTACACCTCCAGACCACTACACCTCCAGACCACTACACCTCCAGACCACTACACCTCCAGACCGCTACACCTCCAGACTGCTACACCTCCAGACTGCTACACCTCCAGACCACTACACCTCCAGACCACTACACCCTCAGACCACTACACCTCCAGACCACTACACCTCCAGACCACTACACCTCCAGACCACTACACCTCCAGACCACTACACCTCCACACTATCAAGCCGCTGGCCGAATATCTAATTAATGACCGCGCGAGATTTAATTAATTGCACGGCTTCTGGATAATTAATCTTAGACGTAATGGAAGTCCTTGCAGACGGCCGACCTGTCCCTCTCCCTTCTCTCCCTCTCACCTCTCCCTCTCCTCCATCTCCCCCCTCCCCTCACCCTCCCTCTCTCTCTCACCCTCATACCTTTCCCCCCCCCCCTCATATCAGTCAAATATTCACTGCTCCCTAACCTTCCCTCACTATATTACTCTCCCTGCCTCTCCTCCTTAAGTTCCTCCTTCCCATTATCTTCATCTTCTTGCTCCATCACTGCTCCATCTCTTTTTATTACATTCATATCCCTTCCACTCACGTTATCCTCCTTCCTAATAATTTTTACTACTTCAATTGTTCCCTCTCCATATGATAGTAGTAGTAATTGTAGTGGTGACATTACCACTACCAGTAATACCAGTACAATCACCACTACCAGTAATACCAGTACAATTACCACTACCAGTAACACCAGTACAACCACCACTACCAGTAACACCAGTACAATCACCACTACCAGTAACACCAGTACAATCACCACTCCCAGTAACACCGGTACAATCACCACTACCAGTAACACCAGTACAATCACCACTCCCAGTAACACCAGTACAACCACCACTACCAGTTACACCAGTACAATCACCACTACCAGTAACACCAGTACAACCACCACTACCAGTAACACCAGTACAATCACCACTCCCAGTAACACCAGTACAACCACCACTACCAGTTACACCAGTACAATCACCACTACCAGTAACACCAGTACAACCACCACTACCAGTAACACCAGTACAATCACCACTCCCAGTAACACCAGTACAATCACCACTCCCAGTAACACCGGTACAATCACAACTACCAGTAACACCAGTACAATCACCACTCCCAGTAACACCAGTACAATCACCACTCCCAGTAACACCAGTACAATCACCACTACCAGTTACACCAGTACAATCACCACTACCAGTAACACCAGTACAACCACCACTACCAGTAACACCAGTACAATCACCACTCCCAGTAACACCAGTACAATCACCACTCCCAGTAACACCGGTACAATCACCACTACCAGTAACACCAGTACAATCACCACTACCAGTAACACCAGTACAATCACCACTACCAGTAACACCAGTACAATCACCACTCCCAGTAACACCGGTACAATCACCACTACCAGTAACACCAGTACAATCACCACTCCCAGTAACACCAGTACAATCAGAGTAACCAGGACTGATGTTCTAGTACTTCTACTTATAGTAAAAGTGGAAGTGCAGACTAAGAGGGGTAAGAAAAAGGGAAGAAAAATTAAAGTCCTGAAGAAAAGAATATTAAAAACATACCAAAGAGAAAAATGGCAGAAGAAAATAAATAAGAAAAAAAGGAAATATGAAGAAGAGGAAATGGGCGAAAAGGGAAAAGAAAAGGGAGAGAGATAATGATATGAGAGAAAGAGGAAAGTATATGGTGGAAATAGGAAAAAGAAAGGTAGGGGTGAAGCGGAAACACAGGTATTAGCTCACAGCTACGCTCAGTAATTTCTCCAGCGTTTAGCTATCAATTAATGCAACTTTACTGAGGACTTCCTTGCATGAGCCTGGCCAGGTTGTGTTGACCTTGCATGAGTGTTGATATCCACTCTCAGCTGATTGGTTATCTCAGATATGCTGCGTTTTACCATTAGTTATTGCTAATGTTATCATTAATATGATAACTAGTGGCAGGAGTAGTTAGCGACACTTCTACTTTCGCAGCTAGAAATAATATTAAGAATAAGACGCCTGATAATAGTAATAATAATAATGCAGTTAAATACATTGTAATACAATAATGGCAGATGCAGTTTAATGCTGACAAATGTAAGGTTATGAGGCTAGGTAATGATGATAGAGTTACAAGATACGAGCTGGATGGTGTTGAGATTGCGAAGTCGGATTGCGAAGAGGATCTGGGAGTTTTGATCAGTAAGAACTTAAAAACAAAAAAATCAATGCATATATGTTCGTAATAAGGTAATTAGAACACTGAGATTTATTAATCGACGCGTTAGTAACAAGACACCTGGTGTTGTTCTTCGGCTATATCTTGCTCTAGTTAGGCCCCATTTAGATTATGCAGTTCAGTTCGATTGGATTCACTAGAACTCATCCAGCGTAGGATGACAAAGTTAATTGCCCAAATTAGAAATCTAATTAAAAATTAAAAGTATCAACACAAGACAAAACGCGAAACAATGGGTATAAATTGGATAAGTTTAGATTTACGATAGACCTTGGTAAATACTAGTTTGGTAATAGGGTTGTTGATTTGTGGAACCAATTACCGCATATCATAATAGAAGTAGGATCCCTTGATTGTTTCAAGCGTAGGTTAGACATATGAATGAGATTGGGTGGATATAAATAGGAGCTGCCTCGTATGGACCAATAGGCCTTCTGCTGTTACCTTTATTCTTATGTTCTATTAATAATAATAATATAATAATAATAAAAATAATAATAATAGTAGACGCAAGAGGCAGAGCTGTGATAAGTTCCCCTCTCACCAGCCCATTCCTTTCCCCATAACACATCCATCTACATATTCCTTCTCTCCAAAACTTTCCCCCCCCCGTCACCCCGCTCCAGCCCTTATCACTCCCCCCCCCCCCCCCCCCGCCACCAGAACTCCTCACCCCTCCCCCTCACCACCCTCACCACCCACAACATTCACCACCAGCTAATCCTCAGCCTTGTTCCATGTCCAATTTGGTGATGCAGAGTGAGGAAGATGAATGGCTGCTGGAGTTTGCCTCTCCCTCCCTCCCCTTCCCACCTCATCCAGCTGCTGTCTCCTGACTAGGGAAGGGGAGAGAAGGGCGGAAGGAGGAGAGAGAGGAAAATAGGGAAGAGTGGGGAGAATGGAAGGACTAAAGGCCGTAGAAGTGGAAAAGATGCATTAGGAAAAGGACAAATTGAGTAAAATGTGACAGTGATAGGGATGAACGGGTAATGGATGGTTGGAACAGAGGGAAGGAGGAAGAGAAAGAGAAAAGGAAGAACAAAAGAAGGGAACTTGAGAGAGAGAGAGAGAGAGAGAGAGAGAGAGAGAGAGAGAGAGAGAGAGAGAGAGAGAGAGAGAGAGAGAGAGAGAGAGAGAGAGAGAGAGAGAGAGAGTGAGAGAGGGAGGTCAGAGAGATTTTAACCAGACAAGTTGACGAGGGGGGGGGGGGGCGTGGAGCGAGAAGGGGGAAGACGTGGTGATTCGCTAATCAACAGGCGCAGTTCCTGCCGGTGATTGATGACCATCATGATGAAGCAACTCCCATTAAATTTATCTCACTTTACTGAGGACTCCTCATATAAGCTACTCGCCTCATTGTTGACTTTATTGAAATATGTGGTAATAACTATATAATTACTTTTTAAAGTTATGAATAGTACCGCCTATGGTTGCATTTGTGAAGGTCCCTTAACGTTAGTGAAGAGAATAAAAGGCACCTAAGGGAACCTTGGTGGACTTATCACTTTCCTTCACTGACTCACCAAGCTCTCAACTTACATTACACAAGTTCCTCCTTAAGAAATCAAACACGTCAGGTATTCCACTTCACGGTTAGCTTCTATTTCACACATCACTTCCTTCTCTCTCTTCTCCTCCACATTGTTACTTTGGATCACGTTAACAGTATTCCTCACACCCTTCGATCACAACTGGTCTGCTTAATAACTCTCCTAAACTCTCTGCTTAGAGAACCGTATCATCTGTATATATGCAATTTGACATCTGACAATTACTCATAATATTCTTATACAAGAGGTTTACACATCTCACTAACATTCATGCACCTCCCTTATGTCCCCTCCATGTATATATTGAATATTATGACACACTGCCCTGACATACACCTATATTAATATCACTCCAGTCTCTCGTTACACTATTAACTCCAACACGTGCACAGCTTGCTACATAGAAGTCTTTGACAGAATTCTGTCAGCATCGTATATGCTTATAACTCTCCACATACATTCAATATTACTTTGTTGCCATAAATGCCTTGTTCACCAGAACATCTTTCTAATATTAGCTTTCATTAACTTGTGTCAGGTGCAAAAGTTTCGTCAACATATCCTCTTCCAGCAGAAAATCCACCTTGTTCTTCATGGATTCATTTCTCAGTAATATTATGGTAACTTTCGGTCATACTCCCGATATGCATCAAGTAAATTAATGTCTCTATAATTCTTATACTTATTACATTCTTTTTTATTTCATATAGTTATTACTCTTTGTAAATCCGGGAACTCAGTGCCACTAACCCGGTGAGCTCTGGTAAACATTCCACAGTCCATTCTTTGTGCCATGTAGGAATGTTCCACTCCTGCAGCTCTTCCATATATCAGCTTTCTCACTCAATTTACTCACGACGTCAACAGATATATCAATTGCGTACTAATCTTGCACTTTTTTTTACACCATAAAGTCCAGTGATGTTTACATTAGAAACTTTTTCATTTTTTTACACTAACTATATTTTCAATATATTTCCAGCTACTTCGATTTCCTGTTCATTATTTAACTTTCTCCTGTATCTATGTTTAACGTTCATATTTATTCGTTCACCTGTCTTCCTGGTGTGCTTCCAAAGTGTTTCGTATTTTATGAATAATTTCCTTGAATTATTCTCTCTGTCTCCTCACTCGCGCTTTCGTCTACCGGCTAACTAATCTTTCTCTTCACATACCCTTCTCTCTTATCATGTATCCGTTTCCTTTGTCACTCTCGTTCACTTTGTTTCCATTAAATCCGCTTTCATATCATAGCACCTTCTTATCTCACAAGCAGTACTTCTCATTCTTCCACCAGTCTGTACAACAGTTTGTTGCACAGGTTTGTACAACCATATAAACCTCTCTTGGGGTTATTATCAAATATTATTTGATATATTCCGCATCGCACAACCTTTCATTTTTTCAGTCTC